TACTATAATAGGATTTGACAACAGTATAACCTACGGTGCAATAAAGTACAGAAATACAGTACGTCAATGTGGCCTTGATCACACTTAAAACTCTAAGGATACTTTTATGATTTCTTTATAATAAAGTTAATTTCTACTAAACAACATAGGAATAACTTACTCCATTAGGACCCAGATGTTATCCTATTTATTGTATTTGATAGCAAATATCACAGCTTATTTTTATTTAAGTCACAAGCTCCATCTATACCACCTACACTGTTTCAGATGGAGGTCAGGTGCATTACTTTGGCTTGACTAATGTTAAAACTAGGATCACAAAGCACAAAAGTGCTAATAGCTGTAAAGATGAAAACTTTCTGTCCAACAAAGGTGACTTCTCCGGTTGGATTTTAAAGGAGAGATAATGACACACACTGGCAGCGTGTTCTGTCATTTAAAGGCCACATCCTGAAACTGTGAATATAACTTTCAAACACTTCTGAAGGTCTCTAAAGTGAAACAGATGAAAACCTCTTTCTGTCCTTCCAAAGCACAAGCTGTTTTCAGTGGCAGGTTATCAAGTTCATTAAAGTGGCACTCCATTATTACACTTTAAAATCAGTATATTAGTCATGAGAATTAACACTTAAAAAACAATTGAATAATGTCTTCTGTGCCTCTTGGGATCTTGGCTAAATCTAAGAGATTACTTAAGGGACATCACTTAAGTGATCACAGCTTATGCTAAGAGACACAGACAGTAAGTCTGCGTTGTAAAGGGGGGTGGGTGGGTAACATCTGAAAGACACGGAGGATGCTAATAGTCAGGATATCTCTGCCTCTGCTGCTCTTTGACCATACTTTTTTACATATGCCCCAAATTTTATGGAAGTGGATTACTAAATCATTGTAGTGGTGTGATGTTTCCTGGGCTGAAAACAAAATACAAGACTGATTGACATGCTTTATATACCGCAAGAATGTAAGCAACAATTCACAATATTTTTGCCAAATTGAGAGGGCTGTTTTAATTAAGGCATTAAGATGTGATGATAGGGATGGGATTGGTTATTTTATGTGTGGCCAGCCACATCAGGTATGGGGCCAAAGCTGAACAGACTATTAAAGCTGCTATAATATAATATTTTTACAACTGATCAAATAACAATGCCTTAGGTAAAAGGGTGCTTAAAGTGCAAACTCACAGTTAGATCAGATGATCAACTGACTCTGCAGTTCCCCTCAGCTGTACAGAGCATTTCAGCGTCTTTAAGCTAATTTTCTGCTTTGTTTGTAGACACAGCACGCAGCTGTTGCAGCAAAAAATCTTACTGTATGCAACCTGTCCACCACCAAACGGTAGATGGACAACAACTAGCTGGTGGTTATAATACGTCAGTGCTTTGTTTTCAGCTTGTTGCGCTGCCCCCAGGTGGCCAAAAACTCTACAAATATACCCAGGAAGACCATAACTAATTGATAAATTAGTCTAATTTTGATCAAAATGTTGGAGAACACATCTAATTTCTGATTGATTAAAGACAAATAATCAACTTGGATAATGTGTGTCATTCCAGAACACACATTATCCAAGCTGATTATTTTGTAAATTCTGATCATTTCTAAAGTTTCCCTGCTGGACACAAGATGTCTCCTCCTTCACTATAAAGTCAGTTCTCAGTGGATGTGTACAGGTTTATTTAAGTTTCTACATCACACTGTACAAGTTGCATAATGAATCAGGACTGACTTCCAAACTATTTGTGATGTCACAAATCATGTGCATACATCATTCTGCACAGTGAACATCCAACTGTGGGAATGAGAAGAAAAACATATTTTCGACTTGAGGGGGACTTTGAAGGAGTACCTTCATCTTTTTTAGGATAATAACATGTTTACTGTTTCATTTTTTAAAGTTTGGACAAATTGTACAGACTCACCTATCCTCAATCACCACCAGGCCCAAAAACTGGTTTGTTTGTTATGATGATAAAGGGCTGGCTATTTCTTTATACTGTATATTAAGAATGATTAAATGTGTCTAATTTCTCTCTTTGGGCAATATAGTATTGTATTGCAGCATATTAATCTCCAGTTTAGGGATGAACAGGTTTTGCAGGCTCACAAGATAAATCAACACAAAATCCTTCCAAGATTTCTCATGAATCCTGAATGTATGCAGCCATAAGCTGATAAGTCCCACACAGGACCGATCAAACCTAAAATTTACATAGAGCAAATGCTGCAAAGACTTGTCAGACAATGTGGGGAGAAGAGGGAAAAAGAAAGAAGGAGAGGCCAGTTTTCCACATCTATACTGTGACAATGTTTGTGAAGCACCAAGGGATTGGCTGCAATGAATTTATGCATTAGTTTGTGACATTTGACATGCAAATACACACAAAAGTCAATGAGTACCAAAGTGTCCAATCCCACCTGGGATATTAGTTGCAAAATGTCACAGCCCTAGAAATCATTCATACAGTATTCATGATTATAAAAAATCTGATGCTAAGCATGTTTTGTTTGTGGAACATGACAGCAGTGTCCAAACATGCATAATATAACCATCCTTTTTTCTGTATGCACGCAGTTTGTTTTCCAGTCCCTGTGTGGTGAATCTAAGGAGGACGGGGTAGCTTTACAGCAGATGGTGGTGCGAGCTGAGAAGACTTTAATAAGCCAGATTAAAGTAAAAGACCTTCCCTTCAGTGCTAGGAGCCATCTTAATTAAACAGTTATGAACTCTCCATAAAACATGAGGAGTGTTTGTGCATCACTCATTAAGATACCTGCCAAAAGGAACATCCTGAACAGACAGGACCGTCAGCTACTTCTCTCCGTACTTCCGTAAGTCCTTTTCGGATGTTGATTGAATCAGGCGATCCGTTATTGAATGAAAAACCAAGTGTCAACAACACAGTTAGAATGTGTCGTCATCCTCATTCAGGTAAGTAGGCCACAGTTCAGTACAAAGCCTAGTTGGAAGTGCTCAGCAGTGGATGTGTGTTTGCTTCTGTGGGAGGACGCGTGCAAATTCAGTGAAAGTGATTGGGCATGCAGGTGGAGGTTGTTGTTTTCTTTTCCATCTCCTGCCAGAGAACGCCTTTGAGGTCCAGATGTGGGCTTGCATCAGATCTTCTGAGCTTAATTCAGTCACAAAGCAAACCACCTGTCTGACTTTACTCAACATGTGCCTGCTATGGAAATGAGCTGTTATCAGTGGTGTGATGGTAAAAAGAGAACTCTTTGCCCGGGACCACCCATGGCCAGGCGACGGATCACTAACCGGACAGAGGGGTCAGCTGTCCCGGGGGGGCCCTGAATTAGGTTTGATAATTTGAATAATTGCAAATTTGTTTGCGCCTTTGAACATTAAGAATGGTCCTGCCTCATTAGAGGAGCTTTATTATTTTAGTTTGTATTATGCTTTCATGATGCTTCATTTAGGAAGTGTTTTGGGAGCACAATGGCCTATATTTCAGACTTTACAGAGCAGAGAGGACAGGAAGTGCAGGGAAGGATCGATAGGGAATGACATGCAACAAAGGTCCCCGGCCAAACTCAAACCCCTGGGCCATATTTTTATGATGCATATTCCTAATAAAGTTGTGTTTAATAAAACAAACACAAATTACATATTTCTCCAGCTTAGGTGTATGGTTTAATGGGCGGCAGGGTATATACACATTGCACAAAGGGCAGTCAGACCAGATCGATGCTACTATAGGGGGCCCTGGGACATAATGAATTTAGTTTGTGATCATTTAAAGGTCCAGTGTGTAGGATTTAGAAGCATCTAGTTGCAGATTGCAACTCACTCGCTTCACCTTCCCTTTTCCAGTTTGGTTTGTCCCCCCTGTACTGGGCTACTGTAGAAACATGGAGGTTCATCACAGTGGCCTCCGTGGCAACCCACGGCATCTATAGATAAAAATGTCTCATTCTAATGTAACAAAGGTAACGATTCTTATTTTTAGATGATTATACACTAATGAATTCCTGCTAATATATCCTCCTAAATGTTACATACTGGACTTTTAATTAAACACAAATTTGTTAAAAGAACATGGACCATGAATATTACACTATATTACATGTCCCCTCTTTAAGAGCCACCTACGGCCATTTACCGGTTACGTTTCAAATTATGCTTTAGGGGTGCATATTACCAAATCAAAGCACTGCAAAATAATATCCACACAGATAACCTGGTGCTGTCTGGTCACCTACTTTGTCTGGTAATAGTTGCTAATCCAGCCTTGGCAGTAGTTGGTGGGATCATTAAGGGCCCAACAAAACTTTTTTTTACCCCAGACTCATGTTCATGTTTATGTTAACAGAACTTAAATGACTTTCCACTAACTATTTTATCTTAACTGGGTTGGCTGCTCCATTGTTGTATTTGTTGTATTTCATATAAAAGCCCAAACTTACTGTAACCACAGTGGAATCAGTTCCTCCTCTGAGGGTGAGGAGGTGAAAGAGTGCAGCAGAGAGAGGAGTCGGGCTCAGTGGGATTTAGGGGTCGAAAACGGCCAAACATGGATGGAATAAATGGGTTTCCTCTGACTAGAAACGATTATATTGCTTGAAAATAATCCACACAGAAAAATGTATGGTGAGAAAGTATTAAGTCTGTGACTTTAGTCAGCAGTGCGCAATGGCCTGTGCGTAATGGAGAGGTCATCACCTACCTATTGCGGTTCCAAAAGCTTTCTCTTCTCTTCCACGTGACTCAGAAGTCACTTCAGTGTCCCCATGACCAGCGTCTCGGAGTTGAACTCAAACTGGTTGCTGGAGGACGCAGACTTCCCCCACGAGTAGAGGCTGGGCGGCCGCTGCTTAAACGACGACGTGTACCTGTAGAAGCTCCTGTGCCTGTTCTTCAGGTACTCCCTGTAGTTCTTGGTGAGGAGCGTGTAGAGGAAAGGGTTAATGCAGCTGTTGCTGTACGTGAGGCTGGCCACCAGGTAGTTGATGCAGGTGTGCGTCTGCGAGGCCAGGCTCAGGGGCTTGTTGTGGTACAGAGGCAGCAGCTGCCAGATCCAGAACGGCAGGAAGCACGCCCAGAACACCAGCACGATGGTGAAGATCATGATCAGCACTTTCTGTTTTGGTGACCGCTTGCCGCCCCTGCTGATCACAGAGTTGCGCTGGGACTCCAAATAAGTGCGGGCTAACTTGACGTACAGGTAACCGATAATGAGCCCCGGAGCCATGATGCTGGTGCCAAACAGGACAGTCACATACACTTTATAAGCCAGGGGTGCCCAGGTGGGTGCGCACATCCTCTTTACGCCCCCATCGGGCGTGTTCTTAGTGGTCTGGGCGACCATTATCATCATGGGCACGGTGAGAACCAGAGAAAGCAGCCAGACCCCCCACGCCAGAGCTTTGCGGTAACTCTTGGAGCGTCTCACCGTGTCCAGCGGCTTGGTGACGGCCAGATAGCGCTCCGTGCACATGACGGTGAGGGTGAAGATGCTGGCGTGCATGGTGAGGAGGTCCAGGCTGAGCAGGATGCGGCAGCCCACGTCCCCGAAGTACCAGTCCTTTAGGAAGTAGGTGGACACCACGAAGGGGATGGTGGAGAGGTAGAGCAGATCCGCCAGAGCCAGGTTGATGATGGAGATGTACATGGAAGTGGCGAAGCGGATCGAGTGACACATCACCACCAGGGTGTACACATTCCCCGACACTCCGATGATGTAGACCACGGAGAGAAGCGTCCCGAAAGTGGAGGTGATGACGAGTTCATGGTCCACAGTCCCGGAGCCGCCGCCACCGACCCGCGGCGGACTCGTGTTTAAATTGGTAGAATTGTTATTCATCGCTCGCCCCGGTGCTCTCCTCTCTGCTGGTGGTTGTGTCGCTGCGCGCCCTCGGACAGCGTTGGAGAAGTTTGGGAAGATGCGCACCGGCACAGGTTGTGTCTCGCTTATCCGCCTCGCGCCCGCTGCCTGCTGCTCTTTGCTCCTGACGTCACCACTGTAACATCACCCTGAGGATCCTATATCAAAAATGTGTATGATACTCACCCGTCTCGTAGGTGCGACTGTAAACACCGTTCAGCTCCCTTTAAACGGAAGAAATGTGAGTGTGGGGAGAGAAGAGGAGAGGATGCTTTCTGGGACACTGAGAGGTGTGATTATGTAAAAATTACTAATTCAAATGTTTCATTAAAAGTTTGGTAAGCACTGAGTGTGCACCTGATGCCACAGCTGGCTATTCCAATTATCTGGGGACATGTTAGTTAACGCCACTAGAGCCAATTTTGCGCACACACCGGGCTGCATTATTATTTTAAAAATCGCTTTTATATCTTCCAATTAATCTTCAGTGTCGGTGCCATTTCCAAATGAGACTTCAAGCATGGATAATTAATCTGAACTGCCCACATGTGCACACGCATTATATTATACACTGGAGGTTCTGATTCAGTACCAGATAACCAATTATTATCCTTTTTTGTGCACACTGGCCGGCCTGTACCTCAATATTATGACATTAAGTGACTGTCATAGGGTGCCCAGTTAGCGTAGTGGGTAGAGACCCATGTACCGAGGCTTAGTCCTTGCTGCAGCGGCCCAGGGTTCGAGTCCGGCCTGTGGCCCTTTGCTGCGTGCATCCCTCTCTGCACCGCCCCTTTCGTGTCTCTCTCCAGCTGTCACTCATCATAAGGCGCAATAAAGCCCCCAAAAATATTAAATAAAAGTAACATGTCATAGAGTTATGGCAGAAAGGTTCAACTTTTACGATGTTATTAAAAAATAATGAATATTTGATGGCAGAGATCTTGGGAAATGTCAGCTGAATAATTTAAGCTAAGTTGGGAGGGACAGAAATGTCCCCAGTTAGTGCGTGTTCAGTTTGGATGTCACTCATTGGTGGCCAGGCTCAGGAAAGTCAGCACTCAATAAGGCTGTCTGGCTTTGTGCCAGGCCAGATGTCACTTGTCATTGTATTTTTCAAGGACAAGACTGGTTTGTGTAAGAAGTAAAGAACACTATTTTCTGCAATTTTGCCCAGAAGAGTCGCTTATTATTCTTGCCCAATCAATAAATTTTGTCTTCTCGCCTCTCCCTTAAGGACGATGACCGGAAAACCGGAAATTAGTGTTTGAGCCACTTTGGTCCCCTGGCCTCAGGAGTAAATGGGTCCGCCTTTACCTTGGGGTTGAATGGGTCATAGAAAAGAAGTCTGTAGGTCTACCAACCTTGGGGTAATGTTCATCGTCCTATAATACTCTCTCCGCACAGTAACCAAACCTCTAATCATCCTTTTCTCTCGAATTCTGCAACGCTTCTCTCTTCCTTGTGTGTTCTTAAAGAAGGGGGTCTAACAAGTGTAATAAAGACCGAAGAATAAAGAAGGGTAATGGTTCATTATACCTCAACCTTAATCTATATAAAGTGCTCCAGTTAAAACAATAAACTATTCATCACGTTCGCTCATATACCCAACATATATCAATCATATCTAACATACACTAGTAAACCCATCACCAAGCCCTGTATGCACAACATGTTAAACAAACATACTCCTGCACTTTGCAAACACACTCATCAAAAACTATCAACTGCAGATCTTCCCATAATCTACACGAAATTTTAGAGTTGGAATGATAACATGCCGACTGTGGTGATCACGCATTCCGTATACCAGGTTAGTCTCCGCCTCTCACTTCGGTTTATTGCATAATATACGATTCAACAAACCACATCAACCATAAATACGTCAGCAGGTCATAAATATCCATCCATGAACGAAATATTGCCTGGAAAAGGAAAACGGTTATATATAAATCATAAACTTTTTTTTGTTTCCCAATCCGAAAAACTCCAATGTAGGAGCCTCACCTGCCATTAGCAAACAAAAATTTTTGCACCAGATATAGGAACCAGGAGAGCCTAAAAAGGAACCCTGCAGTATCCTCTAAAAACTAAGCACGCAATGGCCACAGAAGCGTTACACAACGCTCTTTTTAAGTATTTCCTAACTAGAACAGACATTACAAACCCCGCCAACAGGTACTCACTACACAAATAAACTTAAATGAATACAAGAATGCCGTTATCAGAAATTCTTGCACCCCTCTTGTCCTACACCTGCATGAATGGTATACTTTTCAATAGCCAGAAATCCATAGCCCCCCCGCTATAAATCACACTTTCACCAGACATGCCTCCAAAGCCTAGATCGCTCAAGAACTCCTCCACATGCACAGGGTGATTGATTCCGCGAGACAGAAACACTAACAACCCCACAAATAACCCACATAGATCAACCACATCCCATCCTACAGAAACGCTCAAAGATGACGAAATGGGGCGAAAAAACGCCATCTCTCTGTGACGGAGTGTGTCGTGTCTGTGGCAGCATGTCACAGTTTTAGTTTACAGCTTCAGGCAGGCTATGAGCGCGTCTGTATGCTAGGCATATTAGCTTTGTTATGTTTCACCTCTTAGCTCGGGGTCATGTTGACTCTACACGCGCGACCAGTTGTTGTTGTTTTAGATGTAGAGAAGATAGCTCACGTTAACAACTGGTAGCGCTTAACCCACGATAGTTCAAGCTCTGTTGGTCGTGCTAAAGCGCTCTCTCCCTCAAAAACCAGACCACTCCAAACGCGTAGACCTCATCATGTCGCAGTTGTCACCTCTCCATCCTCTCGCAATATGAAACCGAACACACACATACGCCAACACACAAACGTGTCACACTGTCTATCATACTACGAAATGACGAGCTATCTACTGTGTCTCGACATGCATCATATACCTAGAAAACACGAGATACAAATAATGACCATTTTCACGCATATGATTGATCAAATTTTAGTACGGAC